CAACCAGAACCAGAGCTTTGTGCCTCCTGTACGCTGGGCTGAAGCAGGAAGGTGCCCCAGAAGAGAGGAGTGAATCAGGGCACAAAGTTTGCAGGTCTCAGTGAGCACATTGCAAAGTTGTTACCCACCAGCTCCGTCACAAGCACACTTGGACAGACGTGCCTCCTGTACGCTGGGCTGAAGCAGGAAGGTGCCCCAGAAGAGAGGAGTGAATCAGGGCACAAAGTTTGCAGGTCTCAGTGAGCACATTGCAAAGTTGTTACCCACCAGCTCCGTCACAAGCACACTTGGACAGACCACACTTCGCCAAATTCATCAATTTCCATCCCATTATGAAAGCTGGGGAGTTATGGGTTTTATGGGCTGTTTCCTTTTGGTCAAACCACTCCATGGGACAGCGCTTGACAGGCCATTGTGGTCTGGGAATCAGGCTATGGAAGACAATCCTGCCAGGTGAGTCACCTGTGCCAGGGAGCAGTACACAGGAAGCTTGTTCTTTCCATGCCAGTGCAGGGCACAAAGGCATGATCCTAAAAGTGACACTCTGCTTCTGCTGCTCACCTGGAAACACAGAAATCAGGGGCTGGAGAGACCTACAGGGTCACCCTGCTCAACCTACTGAGCCAACAGGGGATCAGATTGACCTCTGTGATATTTTTGGCACATTGGCCAAGGCTCCAGAGAAGAAGGTACCCAGAAAGTTGCTTCCTGTTGGTCACTGAGCCTGCCGAAATGTGTTTTCCTCCCATACTGTAGGATGCCATAACAAAGGGCAGCTTGTCCACATTTATTCCTTCGGGCAGCCCCCATCATGCTGCACACCTGACATCTACTTCCATCTCCCACTCTGGAAGAAAACCAGTATTGCTGCCCTCCTGAGAATATCTAATGCAGGGCTCCTCTAGTCACAGGGCTTACTCAACATCCTTCTTTTCTTCCCTTAAGTCTCAGGACTGGTTTTTCCTTGAAGGCAGAAGAAACCTGAGCACTAGAGAATAGCTCAGAGCCTCTCTGTCCACCATCCTTGGTACA